ATGCGGATCAGTACTGGTCACGGCCTCAATTTCAGCGGGTCTTCAGAACCACAGCAAGCGTAGCTTTTTCGTGCCGAACTTGCCACGACCCCAACGGGACTGGACTTTAAGAACACATGGATAAACATGGTCAATGAATGTTGGCATGCTGGACCCTCAACCTAGCCTGCAAAGGCAGCCTCGCAGGTGTTTTCACAAGACAGCAACCACCGAGGTGCCTTGCACCCTCAGAAAAAGCAGATGGAAGCATGCTGGAAAGAGGGGGCATCCCGTGTTCAAGCAGTCGACTTTAGGCATCTGTGCTGGCTCCAGCTGTTCAAGGCCAGCGTTCGATACCGGTAGATGATATGGGACGGCCTGCTGTCCTTGCATGGAAAAGTGTGACAACAGAAGGGCTACACAAGCTTTACTGTAGCGTATGCCGCAAGTTGCCAGAAGAGAGAAAGAGAGAGAGAGAGAGAGCCCCCATTGAAGCCCGGGGGGGGTCCCTGGCCCTCTCCCATAGCCTGAACGAAAGAAAGAAAGAAAGAGAGAGCCCCCTAGGTTACCCAACCATGTAGACAACGAGGGGTGTAGTTGGACCTCACAGCCCTATAAGGGCTTGGCATTGAAGCCCGGAGGGAACTTACGTTCTCCTCCATAGCCCGAACGAAATAAAGAAAGAAAGAAAGAAAGAAAAAAGAGAGAGTAGTTCTCTATTCCATAGCCCGCATTAAAGAAATAAAGAAAATAGAGAACTATAACAATGGACAGGTGAAATCCGTTTGGTTGTGAATCCAGGCCTCCCTGGTCGACTGAACTCGTGGACCATACGTGCGGCCAGAGGACGTAGCCCCCGCGAGTGCTCTAGGGTGCTCGCATGGCCAGTAGAAGAAGAAGAGATAGAGAGAGAGAGAGAGAGACCGAGGGACGAATCCCCCATAGGCAGCCCCACGGAAGAATTGGAAGGAGAGGCCGAAGCTCCAGAACAACCAGCAACATCGATGACCTGGCACAGAAATACAAGGCCAGCGGAGCCTACAATGCCAAAGAGGAGACGCCTTACAGGTGGGGAAGTGCAGCTCAGACTGGAACAGACTGCATACCTTGCAATCTGGATGCAACAGGATAAAGATCAGAGACAAGTCTGGGAAAGAGAGCACCCTGATGAAGAGAAGGATGTCCACTGCTTGGCGAAGGAAATCCAATGCTTGGACGAGCATCTGGGCAATGGAGCGACAATGCAGTGCATACGTAGCCAGCTGCAAGAATGGGGAATACAAGCGCTGGAAGAAGTACGGCCACAAGAGAAAACGCCGGAGACGCCATGGCAGATGCATAGCTGAACATTGCGGGGGAGATCATCACTTTCAATCTCACAGGGACACCGTACAACGCACGTTGTTTTCAACTTGACAGGGACACCGCAGAAATTTTCAACTTGATAGGGATACAGTGCAAAACCGTGACAATGAAGCATACAGTGAGGAAGGATAAGGAATGGGAGAAGGGAAGGAAGATTGAATTCAGCATGCCCTGTGTCTGCTGAGAGCATAAGCCCCTCGTGCCAATTCGGGATGACTGCGACGCTGTGATGGGGAAACGTTTTTCTTGGATTAATGGTTCACCAGGGCTTTGGAAATTGGTTCTCCAGGCTTGGGATGAAATGTAACAGAGTCGTGGGAACAGGAAATTAGAAGTCGAAGACGACCTGGAATGCAGCAGTGTAGAGAATTCGAGCAAATCGAGGCCCTAACGCACGGAAATAGGGATGTGTACAAACAACAATGTCAGATAGGAAAAGCTAGATAGCGTTCACGATTTCTCCACCAGAGCAATGAGAAGCAAGGGGCATGTGGAGATCCGATGAATGAGGTTCGGGAATGCACGATCTCCACATGCTAACCTTTCCTCGGCTCCTTACCGACCATTTTCCCGGGAAAGGGAAGGCGCACCGGATAGGGTTGGGTTGTTAGGGAAATTAGCGGGCTTTCGTGCAACGATCCGGTGAACGCTGTACCATCCCAGCAAGGAACCCTGGACACTGGGCTGGAGGTTCGCCTCCGCGACGAAGGTGTCGCATAGCCTGTAGAAGAAGAAGAAGAAGAGCGAGAGGGGGAGAAAGGGCAGCCATCTTGGCACAAGTCTTCCCCTGTGCTCCTCCTTGTGGGGGGGTTGCCGGACACCGGACCGTCTCTCCTCTGGGGGTCTTCTCTGGAGGTGAGCGCGTGGACGCATGGGCAGGCAGTGGGGGCTTGAGGCCTCACGACCGCAGCTATTTGTAGCCCAAAAGGTGCAGCAGGGAGCTAGAAAAGCTTCTCAGTCAGGGCAGCGGTGCTTCCTGAATCTGGTGCTCGACACGTAGGGCCTCGGGAAGGACTGAAACTAAGGCCCCCTTCCGCAGGGACCTGCAAAACTGGGGAGGAGGTTTTTACTAGCCTTCGAGGACGTGTACTTTTGAAGCTCGTGACAGCTTTCCTTGTTTTCGAATCCTTCGCTTTTGGCGGTTCGACTTTGGGAGAATAGATAATCATGTCCGACCGCTTGCTGCTGCAAAGGACACGAGCACTGAAAGCGGGAATTTGACTTTGCTGGGAAGAGGAGACAGCTTTCAAGACCACATCGGGAGTTCGCAAGCTGAGATGAAGCACTGCGCGTGGCATATCTAAGAGGAAGAAAAGAAGAAGCAGAAGAAGAAGAAGAGAGAGGGAGAGAGAGCGGGATGACGAGATCCTTGTTGTCCACACATTACACCACACAGCCATCACAGCTTCACCATCAAGAGCACAACGGCGTCTTGCCAAGCAGTGTGACCGTTATGACAGGAATGTTTGCTAGCACAGTTTTCACTATATCATCCCTTGAGACTACCTTCTTGCTCTCATTAAGTGGCAATCATTCCATCAGCAGTTTTACAAATTTCCAGGTCAACTCCACACAGCCAACTAGGCCCCACAATGCAAAGTAGTAACCACTCAATGGAGTTGATCAACCACTTGGTGACATAGGCCCAGTCCTCTAATGGTTGGTTTTGCCCTCCCCCAGTTGAGTAGATGTTATCTTCCATGTAGTTATGTTCTGGCTCCCTAATTTACCCAACCATGTAGACAACGAGGGGTGTAATTGGACCTCACAGCCGCACAAGGGCTTGGCATTGAAGCCTGGAGGGAACTTACCTTCTTCTCCATAGCCCGAACGAACAAAAGAAAGAAAGCAAGAGAGAGAGGATGAGAGAGAGAGCCCGGGGTGGCCTGATGGTCGCCCCAAAGCCCGAATGAAAGAAAGAAAGACACAGAGAAAGGGAGACAGAGAGCGGCCGTAGCCATTTTGGCTCAAGTCTTTGCCTACCTCCTTCGGGTGGTATTCGCTCCGCCGGCCCTTGGGGGGAGGTGGCTGTTCCCCTCTTCCCTCAAAGGTGGACATGCGGTTGCGAGCAGAGGCTTGAGGCCTACCACATGCAGCTTTTTGAGATCAGGATTTAGGAAACCCCGGCTCTGTGGCGGCTCAGTCTTGAAGTGGCCTCGCCAACTGCCTGCGACTGCAACTTCCTCTGTGTGTAGCACTACACGTGTCCCTGCCCGGGGTTGTCTACGTCAATGCTCCGCAGTTTGAAGCTCATCGGGAACCGCTGCGCAAGCTCTACCCCGACCCCCTTGCCGACCCGCAGGGTGACAACTGGAGGCAGCAATTGTGCCCACTGCAATGACCCAAGCTCTACCTCAACCCACTTGCCGAACCGCAGGTGACAACTGGAGCCAGCAATTGTGCCCACTACAACACGACTACCACAACGAGAACTCGGAAAAGCCTTTACAACGGCCCAAAGCTCTACCCCCGACCGTTTTGCCGACCTGCAGGGTGACGACTGGAGCTAACAAGCGTGCCCACGACAGCGACTTGCACAACTTGAACTGAGAACAGTCAGAAAGCCGTTAGCCCAAACTCCCGAGCTATGTAAACCAGCTCGGAAGCACTTTAACAGTACAGTGGCTGTGGTAGGCAAACAGAGGTGCTGCAGTAACTTTTTCTCCAAGAAGCAGTTTTCCGTCTTCTTGTCAGAGGAACCAGTGGATGAGTGCTGCGTTAGTGGCCTATGTTTTTTTCCGGTCTATCTAGCCAAGGTACCAGTCTGTCTGTTTCCTTCTCCTTTGAGCACCACCGGTGAACTCCGCGATGTACCAGGGCTAAACCTTAGTCCCAAAAATGCTGAAACTGGGCCAATTTTACCTTCGTACCCTGAGCTTGTGTACCACCTTGTTTGGGGTGCTGTTTGTTATCCTATGAGTTCACGCTTTCAGGTTGTGGAACCCGAGTCGGCATTGTTTCACACCAAACCAAACTTGACCCGAAAGCAACGCGGGGCCCGAGTGCCGGCAGGTTCGCCCTGCCATCCCCGTCAAGCAAAGAGCAGAGCAAAGCAAAGAGAGCGGGCGAGCCAAGAAAGCAAATTCAGCGCTGTCTGCTCAAGGCTTTCCCAGAACAGGCGGACCGCTAGGCAGATGCACGAGAGAGCCAGAAACCACTAAAACGGGAGGCTCGCGTGCCAACAAACTTGTTTGAGATCGGAGCTCAGACAGCACGCATCGTGTGATCAGGTCTGAAGCAGAATGCGAGCCCGCGCCCCAGGAATGGTAAGAATAGTAATACTAAGAGCATCTAAGAGCAGCGGGATTAGGTGATTGCCAAGTAGCAGTCTTAGTGATAACACTCCTACTAGCTGTCTCAATCAGAAGAAGTCAAGGTAGCAGTAGCCGTAGTAACTGTAGCAACTGTAGAAGCAGTCTTCGTAGCTGTAGTAGCAGCAGCAGCAGCAGCAGCAGTAGCAGGGGGATTAGTAGTAGCAGCTATGAAAGTGGACGTAATGGGAATAGCAACAGTGCTTTTAAATGTGTTTGTATAATATAGTAGTACTGGTACCAGCAATATTAGGAACGTGCCGTAGCTAGCCTTAGTTGGCTTGAGTCTCAAACTCTTGGGATTGTTTAGGAAAGCCCTGTCATGAGAAAACGTTATGCTGCGAGGTTGATTCGAACTGTTGTGGTCAAGAAACATGACGCTACCGATGAGACACAGCTCAATCTCAAGGCCGGCAGTTGAACCCTATCCACGAGATGATAAATTCCGTAGTATAAAGACACAGGCAACCGGACCCACATTTTGGTTGGATGTTGGGTGTGCTGGCAAGCCATCCCAAGTTTTGTACGCCTGATCTGTTTGAACGTGGGAGTTCGTCACTGTTAGGGGCCTCTCATACGCCCCAAGACAGTTCCACATAAGCCCAGCAAAGTGACCCCAAATCTCGAGATGCCCCCAATTTTTTCTCAGATATGCGTGTCGAGGTCAATGACATTGTCATTGTGATGGAAAAGGCATCCCGCCCAGCTACGTGCCACGTGAATCGGTGAATCTACCTATAACAGAAATCCTCCAAGTTTCTTGTTTGCACCAATGGACAGCAGGGATGCCTGATCTTGAGAAACTTCCAATTGCCAGCAACCAAGCTGTTCAGGATGAGACCGGCTGGTGGGGAGGGCACAAGGACGGCATCTTCTGCCCAGCAGTTCATGTAGGCAGCTTCAGGAGTTGGATGTAGTTCCTACAAAGCAGATGGAGCTTTGAGTCGTTCACGTGTACGACCATACAGGAGCGGAGAGGGAAGAAAGTACGACACCCGCGATTTACTAGCAAAGGGCGTTAGTAGAATAATGTGGAATGTGATTGAAGGTCTGGAACTTGTGAAGGCATAAGGGTGCTTCTAGGGTTCGGTGGAGATCAGAACTCACTGTTCTTCGCACCGCCGCCGAATGGTAGGGAGGGTGCAACCTTAAACTTAATGCTAGCTGGCTAAATCAAGGTGGAGGATAAACAAGCAGCTAAAACAACCTACGAATTCATATCGAGATGCCTTGAAGAAACGACCCGAATGGACGCAATTCCTTGATTTCCTGCACCCAATGCCCCAAGTGACAAGTGCGCCTCTACAACCGTGACAGGAGGGCGAGGAAGCTACTGGATGGTTTCCAGGAATATGTGTTCAACCACTTGAAGGTTGGGGAAGCAAGTTGGTAGTTGTGGCGGCGCGCCGCTGCTGCTGCTGCTGCTGCTGCTGCTGATGCTGGTAGCGGCGGCGGTGAGGCAGTGGCGGCGGCAAGGGCGGAGTGGATCTAGTAACAGCATTACCCTTCAGGCCGCTGCTAGATGTTGCGCGTTCCGCTATCCCTTCTTATTTGTGGACTTCCACAATGCTACGCTCTACCTGACCGCGTAGTGACATTTCAGGGTGATGGGCTGGGATCAGAGAATTGGCAAAGTTTGAATTCTGCTCGCTGTCCGAAGGTTATGATCCACGGGGGAGTCGACTGCACTCGCAGAAAGCTCAGTGCAGTACACTGCTTGCAGTCTTGCTTCAAGTGTCTCAGCCATGACTCGCGGTGCATCCCAGCGGATGGCCATAAGGCCGGGTTCCGTCGCCTGGGCCTCAGCCACAGGAACGTCACCACACACTTTTCTTAGACTCTGAGCCATCCAAGATGCTGGATCCACAGACCAAAACAATTTACACGTGGCCGACTGCACCATCCAGAAGCTGGGGACATCATGCGACATCTGCATCTGCCACAGGAGCCGGATGCGGAGAGACATGTCAATGATGATGGCACTCGCAGGACCTGCGCGTTTGGCTCTTCTAAATTCTAAATGGTAAGTTGGAGTTTGTCTCAGGGCTCTTAAAGAACGGATCCCAACATTTTGGTAGAGATAGGAAAGACTGCTTGTTTTTGGAATTTGTCATCCTTCAGTCATGCGTGCACAGGAGCGCAGTGGAAACTGGGAATTCCAGCCCAGTTCGGCGCAGCTACGCCGCTCTCCTCTCAGTGGCTGCAGCGCAACCTTTCAAGAGCTGGTAGTCTGCGTTCCTTTCCTTGAAAATGCAGTACAAATCTTTGAAACGTTAGCCCGTTATCGCTCCTTAGGTTGATCACTCGTGGAAACAGGATAAGGCGCATGATCTCCCAAGTCTTGTTCTGTGCTTTTCTTAGCGGGCTAGACTTCAACCCATTTCTGCTAAGCCGATGGATTCGAGGTTGCATCACCACAGCGAACCAGTTCAGCTTCTGCGAAAGGCCTTGCATGAATTTACGCACAACGCAGCAACAGGAATGTCACGCCAACTGTTCTCTGACGACTCAAACCGATTCCGATTAGTATTGACTGCCGGCTGCGGGTGCTTCGAGAAAATGCGCGCGAGGCAGCCGTGACGGTTACATGGACTCCCATGCACAGATGTTGGAACATCACAACAGATTGGCCAGGCACTGAGGCTATGTAGATTCAAGCAGCCGTCGTATGTTTGAGGATTCAAAAAGAGCATGTTGCCAAGCCATGGCTCTCAGGCTGCCTGTTTGGGCGTGCTGAGAGAGTCATACTGTTTTTAATTTCGCCAAGATAGACCGGGAGTGGCAGCCCTGCAGGTCGAAGATCGACAGGCGCTGCTCCTGCAGGTGGGCGGGGTCTTCAAGGGCATCAGGAGGGTGCAACACTATCGTAAGATGGAGTGCGGGAGAGCCTTTGAGGAGGGCCATCAAGGCTATTGCTCTGTTTCACAGAAGCTAATGCAATTGTGGATATAGAGACTCTTTTCTTCAAACAAACGCCCGTTCATGAGGTGGAGCAACTGCGACAAGAGAACCTCAATTTGGAGGAGAAGCTGCGCAGGTCGCATACCGAAGACCCAACAGCATTGCAAAGAAACGTGTCTTTCAACAGATTTACAAGCAGATGGTTCAGCTGAGTTTCCGGCATGTCAGGCAGAGCGACTGTGACAGACGAAGATACTCGCAACTGGAGGAGAAGTCCTGTCACAAGTTACAACGGCACAGTGTGCGAGGTTGTTTTTGTGTGCTAGTTTGTTCTTTGCACATGTGCCCAGTCAGGCTTAGTCGAGTAGCGTGTGCCTGCGTGTCGCTCTTGGACACCATGAGCTGTTCAGAATAGTCTTCACAATCTGTAGCGCTTGGAGGGAGTTGGTCAGCTGAGACGTCTTTTGAGTTGCAAACGCAATCGCACGTGGCAAATGTGATGAAGCCGGCAGTGGAGGAAAGCTTCGTCCACTTGGAGGCTGGTCTTTGGACATCATGAAGTCTGAAGACTGGCTGTCTGTTGTTTCGAATCTTGTTGGCAGCGTTGCCCCCCTTGAAAAGACATAGGGCTACCGCAGATTTACTGCAGATGCTCCAAGTCTCCGAAAGTCACAGCGCGGGAATGTAAAAGCTGCAGAAATCTGGAGCGGATTGACCCTTGAACCGAACATGCCTCTGTCTCAAGCTGTCAGAGCTTGTCAGAGCCATCCCACTCAGCCACGACAGGAGACGTAACCCCGATCTTCTTGAAAAAGTTTGTCCCTCTGCGGGTTCATATTCCTGCATGGCTTTGTATTGTCAAAGCGGTTAACGGTCGAGTTGCTTGCATCAGGCGAAAAGCCGGGAGCAATTTGCCGAACTCAAGGCGGATGTGGCTCGTTTTGTTTCAGTCAACTTTGAGGCAAGGTTGCCCGTTGATCTGCAACCTCGCCAGGCCACCAGGGACCACAAGAACGAGCTGAGCGAAGTGAACAGCCAGCTCCAGAAGCAACTGCAGGCAACAGCCAAGCAGGAGTGTCTCAAAACTACCTGTGGAGAATTCTTGAAAACTGCAATCTCTCCCGTGCTAATTAATTAGTTCCTGTTGTCCCGAGTATCCCTGAAGTTATCTTTCTCAAAAGACTCTCCCGTAGAGAGCTCGCAATGAGTGCAGAAGCCGTGTCATGGTAAAGATTTCAGGTACTAGTAGCAACAGCTAGGATTTTCATACTTCTGAGCAAGTTCCAGGAAAGTTATGTAAATGTAGCCGTGGCTTCAGGAGCTGTTTTCGGAACTTTGCTTTCACAAACTGCAGTGACCTGTCGGAAGACTTGGGCGGGGATTTTGCCTGGTTGAGCCTCTTCTGGGGTTGATGCAGAGATTGATTTGCGGAGTATCGTTTCCTGTAGCAAGCAGCAGGTCACGCGTCACGCAAACATCCTGATGCCCTTGTTCTTTTTTTTGCCTTCAGGCTTCCGCATCGGAGAAAGAACAACTTCAGGCCGTTTCCTATGCTTTCAAAGGTAGGAAATTTGGTGTAGGTCAGGCCTTCAGTTTGAATCAGCAGGTATCCATATCTGGCAGAGTGGCTGGGAGTGGAGCTTGCGTGGCGTGTCGTCTAAAGCTATCTACAAGAGTTTTGGCACTGCTGAGAGGGACTCTTCATGGCTTTCCATCTAGAAGCACGCTCCATGAACTTCTGTGATCAACTCGTCGTGGTCAGTTCTATTCTACCCCCGAACTAGGGGAAAAGAACATCAACAGGCTGGTACGACAGGGGACATTGGCTTCCATGTTTGGATTGTTTGCGGGAATGGGCACATCAGCTTGGAGGATGAGGAGGAGTTGCACAATTGCTGCTGAACTGACAGGGTCCTTGCACGTGGCGTAGCTCCAGGCACCATTCTGTTTACTACAGTACGCTACTGCTGATGGTTTGCAACCTCAGCACCCCCAAATCAACCATACTCTGCAAAACTCACCCTCAGTTCACATAGAAACTGGCAGAATTTCTTCCATCTCCTTCAAAGACGGTGTCTGAATATCACCTTCCGCACTTAGATACAACGGGCTTGAGAAGAGAACTCCGGTGGTCATGAGAGGACTTCAGTGCTTCCCTGAAAGCGTGCGCGTCCCTGGCTAATCGGTACCAGCAAGCGAGCCAATGGTTTCTGGGAGTTCCAGAACCCAACTTTGCTTCGAGAGTCAAGGCGAGAGCTTGGCCTGTGGCACACTTGGACCAACAGTTGCACTTACCTGGCCGACTGCGTGGTGAAGAAACAGTCGAGGCAGCAGTGGGAATGGAGCTGTCTGGGACTACTTAAAATTTGTCAAGGATTCCAAACGCTTGTGCCTGGACAATGCAGATTAAGCAACTGAGCAAGCCGAAAAGACCATGCAGACATCTGCTTAGACCTTGATGTGGCAAAAGGAATGCAAACAAGCGCGCGGACCACTGCATAGAGTAGCCATGACAAAACCAAATCCACAAAGCCAAAGGACTCGTTTCTTTGCTCTCGAATACTTCTTCATCTCAGACTCCGCATGCACGGTGGGTGATGGTTCCTCCCCTGTTTCTCTGTTTTTCATAGTTTAGCTCGCAAGTTTTGAGCCAGAAGCCTGTGCCTCCAGCAGCTGCACCACACAGCTGTTCTCTCAAGTGCCTCCGGCATACCATCCTAGATTCTCATAGATTCTCTATACCTCGGGACCTTGTGGGGCCTTCTGGACGTGCCCTGACGATGCAGTCGCATCATGGACGAGAGCGTCATCACCAACCTGCGCAGAGTGCCCACCACCGCAGCAACTCAGCTGCCTATGGGCGCAGCACCAGCCCTGCAAAGTCAAGCCCCGCCACAACATGTGAAGAGCTTTGCGGCCTCTTCCTCTTCCTGCTCACCACCAGCCAGTGTGCCACTTTGCCAAGCCAGCGTGGCAGTCGCATGGCAGCCTGACGTGCCTGTAGCCATGCACAGCCGCTCAAGTACAGTTCTTGCCATTCGACGCTGCATTATGCCCAGAGCCCAAATGGGCTGGGTTACAAACCCCGTTGTACAAATTTCAGTAACGGCGGCCCTATTTGGCAGATTCACTGTAAAGCGAGAAGGAAGAAAAAAGAACCATAATGTTTCATTTACATTTTCAGGAGCGGCATATGGACTAGGGAGCATCCACTATAAAAAGAGAAGGACAAGGTTTCAAACAGATACTAGAGTCCACGATAGCACGATAAGGTTTTCACACCAGAGGAGCTGAAAATGATCAGCAGCTTCTCCGAATCATTGACACTCTTGTACCTGGGAGGCCCTTTGACTGAAAAGGACCCCAAGCCTGCATACAAAAACCAATGCAGAGGCCGAAGTGAGGCAAAGCAAAGTAGAGGTCCAGAACCTCAACAGCCAGCTGGAGGCAGGAAATAGTCAGAGCACTCATCACCAACATGAATAGTAACAATTCATAGTAAGAATACTATACTAAATACGAGTAATTATAGTACTAGCAATGGTTAAAAGTTACAATGGTAGTAATATCAGTAATACAAAGTTCTGACACGATAGAGAGACAAGTCGGGGTGAGTGTTTCATGTCTGGGCTTGGGGCTAAGGAAGTGGACGTTTCAACTTCAGGAGTTTCAGCACGGTTCTTCGGGGAGACACAGTAGTATCTCATAGTTAAAGTTGGGGTCCCCTGCGACTTCACTGTGTGAACCAACACATGGAGGGTGCTCATTTGGCACATACGAAGGCCCACTGAGGGAACTGAAATTATATCTCAGCGCAGAAAGTCAGAATGTCTGTAACCCTGTAACAAGAGTATTGAAGCAGCGCTCTTGGCCGGCTCCTCCGATTGGAGGTCGAGCTCGGGCACAAGAGTGAGCTCAGTGAGGAGAAGAACAGACTTCTCCGGAGGGTGCAGGTGATGGCCACAGCATGCCCGTTACCAGGGTTCCTGAAATTTCCTGAATGTCCTTCTGGGGACCATACATACACAGCCTACCACGTGTTTCCCCATGCTTGCAATGCTAGAGCGTAGCCCAAGTTTATGTGTTATCAGAGAAGAAGGGCCTCAGGAAGAGTAGGGCAGGTTCTTTTTTTAGCTTGCTGATTTCTGCGTTGCTTCAGGACGGAAAGGAGTTGAGGGCTTATGCGTGGTGCAGGGGTTCAGCTCTTCGTCCATCTTCATCCCTAAGGAGCTGGAGACTCCAGAGCCGGCAGAGTCCAGCCAGGCACGGCCCCCAGAACCATTTGGAGCCTAATGAGTCGAGGGACTCAGAGGCAAGTATGTAAGGTTTCGGATCAGGATGTCGGGCATTAACGATCACGGTTTGGGGTTAAGGGCTCGAGGGGTTAGCATTAATGTTGAATCCCGATTAGTGCGGGGGCGCCCAATAAAGTATAGCTTTTTGAAATTTATTCTGGACCCCCAATGCGGTTTGGGGGGTCCCAAGAAAACAAAGTTTTTTCTGCCGGAAAAATGCCAGTGAAGGTTTTGATCAAATTAATGTTTCAATGATTTTAGAGAGATGTTCGATGTTCTATGAGCTGAAGAGAATGTAATTGCTTTTTAGCAGGTTTTCAAGACCAGGCCGTTTTACGTAAAGGTCGAGGACCCTCCCCTACCTATTCTCTTGAAAGCTGAGCAAGTCCTGCATGGATTCAATAGAAGCCGAAGGATCCCTCTTGGTTTGCTGGTTTTAACAGGAGCCATAGGATGCCCCAGACCC